CCCCCCCCATCCGCCCTTCCCCAACACCCGCCTACCACTAACCGCGAAAATTCAACAACTGGTAAAAGTTTTTCGCACCGCGGCAAATTTCTCTCAAAGGCACACACGACCCTCCCCTAACTCCCCATGGCAACGCCCGCCCACACGTTTCACAAATCACTATCCATAAATTGAACGAATTGGGGGTTGAAGTTCTACCTCACCCGCCATATTCTCCAGACCTTTCACCAACCGACTATCACCTTTTCAAACATTTTCAGAACTTCCTTGCTGGAAAATACTTCATCAATCAGGACCAGGCAAAAAAGCCTTCGTGGATTTCGTGATTCTCGACCACCCAGTTTTTTCCTTTGATGGGATTTCTCGACTGTCACATTGGCAAAAGTGTGCTGATTCGAACGGTGCTTATTTCGATTGAATCCGATGAGTATTAAGAAAGTTATGATCGTTTAAAGTGAAACACTCAAAACGCTGAGAACTTTCCGGACAACCTAATATTTTGACGTGAAATATGCCTTCAGAGTTTGCGGCGATCTCAGTATTTGGAAGCGTGTCGAAGTCTCAAACCATTTATCATAGCTTACTTGTATCTTTGCTTAGCGAGGATTTATGCGCTGTAATTTTCTCTGCTGTGGTCGGAAAATTACAGGCTCCGTAAATAATATCGTGAATACCTTGAATGTTGTAACCATTGCATCCCACATGAGGAAAAATCGCGAATCATGATCTCCTTCACTCGATAAGAATCTCAGATTACAGGTAAATAGTCGCTTGAGACCTTTACTACGCATGTTATCACGCACGCACGAATATGACGACAAGTTCACGGAAAAAGGACAGTTATGGATCGATGATGAGAGCGATATGACAACGCGGTAGGAAAATTTAGCCTCTCAGTTTTACATAGGGTGGTTAGACAGTATGGGCGCCTTTTCCACCCGCACCTTTATTCCTGCATTCAAATCACCTTAGTAGCCTCAACTTGGACAACATTTTGTTGCATTTCTCTGTACTTTCTGTGTTTAACCTTCTTTGGTTCCTTGTCACAGCGCGACCGTCCATCCACTGTGAAAGTGACCGCGCAACTTGCACGGTCAAGAAGAATAATTCAGCCGTTACTCAGCAATCGAGACTTCACTTTGAACCGAACGATTCATTTCGATTTGGAAGATTGCCATCCGCTGAAAAACCAAAGGCTATGCTCAAATGGGGAAAAACGCTATCAACTACTACCAGTCAATTCACCGATGCCCCTGTCTTTTCAAAAGAGATTTCCCACAAGTGACGACTCTTCATTGGAGTCGATGGCAACGAGTCAGGGCGTCGTTTGCGG